TGTCGCAATTTCACTGGAGGGCCAAATCTGCCCTCATCAGGACTCTCTTTCCAATACACTAAAACTACAAAATGTTAGCTATTTTGCATAGTGCATTTTGATAACATCTATGCATTAAATGGTAATGGTAATGGACACCAGTTGCATAATTATAATACTATACCTCTACAATTACTGCCCATAATGTATGGTTTCAACATTAGGCTACGTTTATTTGTAGTGTAAATGCTGAACCAGTGTAATATTACATTCTGGTCCAGTTTTGTAACTGTTTGGATGGAGTGTGAAACAAGAACGATGATTGATATACAATTCCTTTTTGATAAATTTTTACATCAGTAATCGATGTAAAAAATACATAAAAAAATCAATGTAAAACCTCTTTTCTTTCTCCTTCGAAGTAAAAGTACTCCCAGCATAACGTCTCTTTTCTCCATCTCTGAATTGTTCTATCTCGATATATTGGAGAAATTGTGCTTTCTCCGCTTAGTACCCTTAATTGGGTAGGAAGAACMGACGGGTTTTATTAAGAAATTTTGAGAAATAATGAAGGACAAATTTGATATTTCATTTTTTTGTCACTATTTAATGCTGATGTCCATTGTTAGAAAAGTTAAAGGTTTTAAGTAATTCTTGAAATTGTAGGGTTTATTTTGTCTATTTGCTAAACCATAGGAAGACTTTAAAAGTATTTAATAAGACCCAACTGGGTTCCTATTGCCTTACATTTACAGTCTAAGGTAGAACTTTCTTTTGACAAAACCCTCCAAACCCCGCTTTGAAACTCCGTTGACAAATATTCTGTTTTAACTTTCCTTCATAACCTAATCTGCTCTTTTGTCTGTTAAAGCTTCTTCTTCTTTATTTATGTTTATCCTACGGTGGTGAAAACAAACAAAAACACAAGCCCGGAGGATGTGTTCATCAGGTGCTATGTTGTGGCATCTGCCAAGACTGCTATACCGATCTCCACCAGATCAAGAATGGCCTCGGAATGTTCAACTACCCTATGGTTCTTGGGTATGTAAGTTATATATGGAGAAGTATGGACAGGCCCAATGCAGATTTTTGAATCCTATTGCAGATCTATAAACATTCAAATGTCAAATACCTACACTTTATGCATCAACACCCGCCCATGAATTGGCATCAATTCGAGCTGGCACCTACCCCAACAGTACATTGGGCCTACAGATTTTGGTGCTGGGTTGAACCGTCATYCTCCCAATTATATATTTCTTCGATCGTCCCATTGCTTGTAAATTATATATTATTACAAGACTAAATTGTGTTTTGTATATTTCAATGATTTTGTTCTGTAAATAACTCAAGGCATGAACTCTTGGGTGAAGTGGTGGAGGTTGGGTCTCATGTGACCAAGTTCAAAGCTGGTGATCATCATGTCAGAGTTGGAGTCATAGTTGGGTGTTGCAAAGAGTGCTCTCCTTATAAGTCTAACATCGAATATACACATTCAAATATTAAAATGAAAACAAATGATCAAATTACTTAAATAATTCAATGGTCAATTGGGATCATTTCTTCTGTAACACTGAGTGCTTGTTCAAATCTTCACGTTCTTAAAAATATTTTGGAGTTTATTTCAAGAGAAGTTCAGTTTCAAGGCCGGTTCCACTAAGGCCAACCAAGGCCTGTTCATTGGATTGGTTCAGGGAGGTAAACCCCTAGACCTTGGAACCGACTTGGATAGGGGTTGGTTCCAAGAATTTAGAACCGGACCTTACCTTGTAACAAATTGGATAGGGTCGATTCAAGGCTGATTTCATTCGGTTCTAGGTAGAATCTATCCATTTGCTCACCCCTAATAACAAGAACATTTAGTCTTATAATGATGTCCACCCGGATGATAAATCCACCCAAGGAGGGTTTGCTGGCACCATGGTCGTTGATCAAAAGTAAAAGAAACAAAATCCAAAATCACTTTACTAGTCTCTTTCTTTCCTCCTTTTTAGTTTTTAGTTCCACCCCATGATAAAAATACCAAATGGATTGGCACTAGAACAAGTGGCCCCACTAATGTGCGCTGGGTTGAAAGTGTATAGCTCATTGAGCCATTTTGGATCGGACACATGGGTGTGAAGATTGCAAGGCAATGGGTCACCATGTCATATGACAAGAAGAGAGTTTTATTTGGAAAATTTGAGGAATAGTGGAGGTAAATTTGACATTTCATTTTTTCCATTAGTACTAACTTATGGGTGCTTTAAGAGAATAGGTAAACAGTAAGGGTAGAGTTAGTCAATTTTCTAAAATATAAGGGTACTTTAGCCCTAAAATAAAATTCAAAAATCTGGATTTTAAGGCAGTTCAGATCTGTTCCCCACAACACATCCATGCCATGTGTTGGGAACATCTTCCGATGATGACATTGTCATTTTTGATACTATCATCTCATGATGTTCCCAATACACGTTGTGAGGCACCCCAAACTAAAATCTGCACTCTCAGACATTTGTACTAGTGCAAATAAAATTGCACCGAAACCAAACACAGCCAGGGTTTTTAAGGGTTTAAGATAAAAGAATCGTCAGTCATCCAATCTCAGACTTGCAGAGCTTCAATGGCAATTCGAGCCATTTCGAGATCCAAAGTCCCATTTTTAGTTTCAATGCTCGTTCGAGAACTTATAATACCAATTGAAAGGGTATCCATGCCTATAAAGTTGCAAAATGCCATTCAAGAAATTGATTCTAAGAAGCCCTTCTCCAATTTCAGGCGTTACCACGATGGTAGACCTAGAGGACCTCTTTGGAGGGGGAAGAAACTCTTAGGAAAAGAAGCTCTTTTCGTGATTTTGGGTCTGAAGAGATTCAAAGACGATGAAGAGAAGCTCGACAAGTTCATCAAGTCGCATGTATTGAGGCTCTTGAAGATGGATATGATCGCTGTCCTGAACGAGCTCGAACGGCAGGAGGAGGTGCCCTTGGGTCTCAAGGTGAGCTTTTAGAAATCCCAACTATGTGCTTACCTACTTTTCCCCTATTGGGTTTTGGAATGGGTAATTGGGTTCTTTTGATTCTAGGACGATGTTGAATGAGATTAGGGTTTTAATGTCTTTCTATTTTGATCTGGAAGTTTTATTCATTGACTTTGTTTTTTATTCTCAAAGTCCTTCTTTCTCTCTTCTGCGTCTATCTAGATTAGCCTAATGATTATTCGTTGTCAACATAATGAGTTGAGTGTCTAAATAAATCAATTCATATGAAATGTTGTTGGGTTTTTCAGATGTTCAAAGTAATTCAGAAGCAGGACTGGTATAAGCCTGACGTGTATCTATACAAGGACTTAATTATAGCATTAGCAAAATGTAAAAAGATGGATGAAGCAATGCAAGTGTGGGAAACTATGCGGAAGGAAGATTTGTTCCCTGATTATCAGACGTATGCTGAAGTTATCAGGGGTTTCTTGAGGTATGGTTCACCTGCAGATGCCATGAACGTCTATGAGGACATGAAGAAGTCACCTGATCCACCAGAGGAATTGCCCTTCAGGATTTTGTTGAAGGGCCTCCTTCCACATCCGCTCTTGAGAAATAGAGTAAAGCAAGACTTTGAGGAGATTTTTCCTGACCGGAATGTCTATGATCCTCCTGAAGAGATATTTGGAAGAATTTGAGGTAATCATACAATTTCTTACTCTTTTTTCCACCTAATTATTGTTCAGATAGTTGCGTCTGGAGTCTTTGTATTTACTTACATATTCTTAAAGTTTTCTTCATACTTCAGATGCTTTTGAATCATCAATGTATATGGACTGCATTGTAAGAATTGAAGTTCTAAAATCCCATGGACTTGTCTGTAGCATTGTGTTTTCTCTTTCTTAAACTTTTCTTCATACTTCAGATCCAGATGCTTTTGAATCATCAATTAATATGGACTGCATTGTAGGAATTGAAGTTCTAAAAGCCCATGTACTTGTCTGTAGCATTGTGTTTTCTTTTTCTAATTTAATCATAATATGCATTTGTGTCTTTAGTTTTAAATCACTTATCAGTAGACAGTATCAAAGCTTTTCCATGAGAAAAGATAACATCACGTGTATCTATTTTGCTCTTTATCATTTTTATATTTATTTTTTAAGTCCCTTAAGCCCATTGTTGGATTTGCAGGGTTCAACCTTGTGTACAGCTGTTGAATTATGCTAGTCATACCTGTCCCTGTGAAACAAGTTAATTTATTTGCCCCAGTTCATTGATAACATCTTAGGGGCTTGAAGCTGATCAAGTTCTTGTCTGGTTGTAATTTTGAAACTTTGTCACTTACTAAGGGATGGAATCTATTTCTTTTAGAACAATGAAACTCATTTTTTTTTTGTTTTTTGTTCTTTTTATTTTGTGGTTTTACTTGAAAATTATGGGCATATGTTTGCAAGAATCATTGTTAATCTCTATGATCTGGTACCAGTGCAACATACACACAAAATTATTGGTTGTTACTTGTTACTTGAAAACCATCTTATGCTCCAAATTAATAGAGTCCTGGTGAGTTTTAAAGAGAGCGGGTAAGTTAGAGGGATAGATGGTACTTAAAACCACAAGATAGATACATGTTAGAGGACCTTGACATGCAATCACTGTGGAGATAAACAATAATTTCCAAGTGTAAAGAACACCCTGAGATGCTTTGCAAATGAGCAGGTTATATTTGTCTGAGTCAATTACTTGGCTTCGAAGTACAATTGCAACAGGAAATACTTGATGCTGTTAGAGAGCACCTGGTGATGAAATCATTTCGTTTTTCTTCCATTACATTTTAGAAAACAATTTTGTTTCAAATTATGGTCATCTCTTCAAAATTTGGAATTATAATTTTTTCTGAAGTTTTTATGTCTAATAGAATCATCATCACATATATCCACTTCACCAATCCATCAATAGGCTCCTTTCAGATGCTATGAAATTCAAAATGATGCTTCTATCATATTTCTAGTTGGATTTCTTCTTTTTCCACCTAATTCATCCTTACATATATCAACTTTGCATTTTTCTTTTGAGATATATTGTATTAATCAAAAGGAGGGAGAGATTTCCTGAAAGATGATTTACAAAAGCAATGCATCTGGCCACTACAGTCTACAGCCCAGAGAAACTCTACAAAAAGTATACGACTGTATGAGATGTATCTGGTATTCACTTGTTTTCACAATTAACAAAAAGAACTTTCTCTCATTGCTTTGTGAGCTGCTCCTTTTTCATGCCTGGAAACTCTTTCAGAACACTGGCCCATTCAATCATGCACTCTCAATCTTCCCAATCAGTTTTTCAATCTCTGAACTTGGCCCAGCACACAGCCCCAGGAACCAGATGCTACAACATCATGCACTTGCTATTGAACACTTTAGATGGTCAAGATGCAGTCAGAGAAGCCAAAATCCCTTGGAAGCGCCATAACCACCCTGGCACCCTTTCAATTGCTTCCATTTTGTTTTTGAACACCTCCTTGATGCAGATGGAAGCCTGGACTTCCAGAACTAATCTTTGAACACCTCTTCTAACTTGAGCATAGTCAGCGTATATATACCTCCCTAGACCATTATTACTCAGGTTAGGGTCAGATATGAAAGATTGAGACAGCAACCTGCACAAGCTGTCAAACACAGGCTTTCCTCAGTGTTAAATAATKCTGCATTCACAATATCAAACCTACTATTGCTATTTGAAATCAAATATCAATGAAGGCATTCAGTTTAAATTTCTTAGAGATATTGATCTATTATTATAAGTACATATTGATTCTTTTGTTTTTTGGTCAACAGAAAGTGCAAAGGGGGGTTAACAGTGGATATGGCTTTAAATAGAACAGATTGGTGAACAGGATTCATGTAGCTGACTTCATATAGTTGGGATAAAGCATGGATGATGATGATGAGAAAGTGCATAGGGGTTGCTACCTTAATATTGAAGAAGAAAGTAAAATAGAGCTCCATGCTTTTACTTATCCATTCTTCTAGTTCTGTTTTATACTGTACATTAAGAAACCATGAGTATGCTGCAAGTGGGGGTATGGTTGACCAGTCAAAGCAATAGCCATAACCATAACCATCATAAATGGATTTCCTTTTGTTGATGATTCCGCTAAAGGAAGAGTGGGTGCTGAACATATCCTTGGTTTCATTAGCAGAGGCTTCCAAGAGGAGAGATAAAGAATTGGAACTTGGGAAGGCTCATTATTTACCCACTCTAGTTTAGTTTAGAGGTTTGGGCTTTGCCCTTTGTCTCTTCTTGTTAAATTGCTTTTTCCCTTAATACTTTATTCCAAGTTTTCTGTAAATGTTGCTATACCTTTTGAGCTTCCAATGGGCTAACCTATATTTTATATGTGCACTTGTGTAATTCCCAAGTTATTTCTTTCATTGATCTCGTTACAGAGAACTTGATATTTGGATTAGTGAGTCATGTTTAGTGAAAACACAATTAGAAGCTTATCTGTGAAATTGATTGGATTTCCAAATGGAGTTTAAAAATTACAACAATGAACTTCATTGGATGTTTTGCTTCTGTTGTATATAATTTGTATGGATTCATATGTTTTGGATTGATATATGAATAGATTTCACTAGTTTATGTATATAAAGGGTCATTAACCATCTTGACTCTGGCCATCAGGGATGGTTTGGGGGGGG